CCATTGCAATGTGACGATTTTTGTCTTCTTAATTAGACTAAAATCTGTGGGGTCAAAGAGCATATTTTTCTTATTCAAATTGTACTTTTAGTATACCTTTACAACATGGCATATTTAATGAATTATTCCCATTTTTGAGCAAACATTTTGTAATAAATATTAAAAATTAAAGATAAATATCAATGAAATTTCAACTTCTCTCTTAACGTGGCTCTTTTGGGCCATACTTTGAATCTTTCAGAATTATACATTCATTCCCCTCTATGGCTAGGAATTCTTTACAAGAAAAACTTGAGAATTATTTCTTGGTTTTTCTTATACCTTTTGGTAATATAAGGGAACTGTCTTGGAATAAAAATTAGTCATTAAGAAATTCAGAGTGCCTAATAAACCAATGAATGACCAGGTGCCTTCTGATTTACTTTGAACTCAGTGGTATTGTGTTGTAAATATACATTTCTTGGAAGGAAAGTGGAGTTTCACATAGTGATTTACAGATATTGGGCATTATTACTGATTCTTTAGAAAATATAGAACACATTTGCTATAAAATATTTGCCTTTCCAAGGATTTTGAACCACTCAAGCCCATCTGGCAATAGTTTTTCTTCAAAGTTGCTTCCTACCACTTGGGGACACTTCATTTTCAGCATCAATGAAAAAGAAATCTACTATGCTCCAGTGCACATCAGAGTAACCAACTTTTTTTCAAGTTATCATTTTAAAAAACTGGAAAAATATATCCATAATTAAATGGTTATGGGGAAAACCTCATAATATTCAGAGGTTTATGACAGTTCAAGCAAAATAAAGGAAAACATTAACTAACTTTTTCTAAACCATCAAACTGGTTTGGCTCTCTTCCTAATTTGGGGTAAAGATCAGCCAAACCAATTCATCCAGTGGAAATTTAAAACAATTACAGAATTATTAATATTTGTTTTATTTCTAGAATAGCTGCTAAAGGAAAGAAGTTACCAATAACAAGGCTCTTTGTAGATTAAATAGGCAGCTTGAAGGCAGCTTCAAACCCTGTACAACTAATAACATTAAAAAGGAGACAAGGAGATCAAAGAAAGCAGAGAATTGTAAAGTCTTTTCTTTAAAAATATACTCTCTAAAAGCATTGGCCTAATAATACAGGAATAGCCCTCAAGAGAACTACCTTCTAAGTACTCCCACACCTCTGACAAAATACACCTAAAGAAGTCAAATTTTTGTATATCTGGAAATTGTTGGGATAGTGTGTTCTTTGTTAAGTGTATTTTTATCACAATGAGAAAAAAAAAAGAAAATGGATTTATACAAGTTAAAATCCAATCTTATCATTAGGCAGTTTTTAAAAAGGAAATAATTTAATGTGTAATCCCTACAAATTTTATGCAAATGGTACAAATTCTCCCACAGAGAGAGTTTTTCATTAAAAAAATGAACCCAGACTTCGATTACCAGCAATCCAGCAAAAACACCTGAAAATGCTACATGACAACATCCTTGGAGTGTGCACGGCTGAGCTAGCTGCAAACTTAGGGGAACCAAAGCAAGCCAGAAAGGAGAAAGTGCAGTATTCCACAGAGGACAGCAAGGACTAGCGCCAGCACTTGCTCCAAGAGCCTCTCTGCATTCCCGGTGGCCTAGAGCCTGATTTTAATGACCTCTGTGTGTTGAGACAGAAGACGAAGCCTAGGCACCCAGTCAAATCAGAGGTCAAATCTAAAACTCCCACATACAGCTAGGAAATAGAAAACTCAACTCAGAGAAAGGAATCCGCTTGTTTCAGGGATGGCTTGGGGAAGAGTGGAATAAAAAAGAAACATCATCCTGGGAATTCCTAATGACAAACTGTGGTAAGCCGACAATTTCGTTTAGAGGGGCACTGGATTCATAGTGCCCCCAGGTGTCTGGCAGAAGCAAAGCATGAGAATTCCATGAATTTCTTTGGACACAGTTCCAAGAGCATATGTAAGACATTAAAATTCACTGAACACATAAAGAAGAGATTATGAGAAAATGAGGACGCATTACAGGGAGGCAGTGAGAAGAGTGCAATTACACTGTGATGATGTGAGTACTGTAGTTGTAACTTGTAAAACAAGATAGCTGTATACAGACGCACACATACAGGAAATGGGAGGGAGGGGAGAACAAGGCATTCCAAACAAGAATCAGCAGACACAATAAATTACAGTTAATGAGAATCAATAACCAGACTGAAAATAGAAAGTAGATATTTAATAGATCTAAAAGGAAAACTGCACATATGCTGATAGAAAAAAATGAATCAAGACTAGAAAATAACAAACATTAGCCATAAAAAATAAAATTTAAAACTCAACAGATAGGTTAAACAGCAGATTTTATGCAAGTAAAGATACAATAGAGAAATGAAAAAAAAAATAGATCAAAATACAGCACAAAACCAGAAAAATAGATCAATAGGTAAGCATACCTAAGAGATATGGAAGACAGAGTAAACAGGTCCAATACCTAATACATGAATCACAAAAGAAGAAAATGGAATGGAGAAGAGGTAATATTCCAAGAGATAATAACTAATAATTTTCCAGAATTTAAGAGACAATAACCCTTTAACAATCTAACCCAGAATAAATGCAAAGAAATTCATATCCAGATAGCCATCAGACAAAACCACAGACTATCAAAGACTTGAAGATAGTCAGACAGAATATAGATTACTTACAAAAACCTCATGATTAAAAACGATATTTTCATTTCAGTCACCACGCATCTGTCAGTGTTGTCATAATGTTGTTGGTGGCTTATGTGTTGCTCTGATATTAGGAGCTATTTACTGTGTACTTGTATTTCAAACACCAGCAAGGTCACGCAAGGTGGACAAGTTTGAACAGTTTCTGGTCTAAGGCAGAATAGAAAGAAGGACCTGGTAGTCTACTTTGGAATTAACTGGCCAGTAAAAATGTTATGAATAGCAGTGAGACACAGTTGTGAAAATGGCACCGGACCAGGTGGTGTTTCCTTCTATTATACACAAGTCACTGAATCAGAACCAACCAGATGGTACATAACAACAATCAATTCCAGAGGACACTACAAATAATGATAGAGTACTGGGAGAAAAGGACTGCTAGCTGAATCACTACATGGTCACTGAAACGTCTTTTTAAGAAAAATGACATTTAAAAATATATTTTAAATCTGAGTTTATTATAAGTCAGCATACAAATGACATACTTCAGAAAGAAGATGAGTTGTAATCAAAGGTAACACATACAACTGGCAAAATAATTAATGTCAAGAATATATAAAAATCCATAACGAATCAGCATAAAAATCATAAACATTACAACAAAATAGACACATCCCTGCCCTCCCTGGGGAGGAAAAAAATATTTTATATACAAAAACTCTGGTAGCTTGGCAGTAAGGAGTTGTGCTGCCAATCCAAAGATAGGGAGTTCAAATCCACCAGCTGCTCCATCAGAGAAAGATTGACAATCTATTCCTGTAAGATTTACAGTATCTGAAAACCCATTAGAGGGTCAGGTATGAGTTAGTTCCAAATTAAGGCACATAAACACAACAAAAAATATATAGGAAAACAATCTCTTTTTCTTTATTAAATGGGTTTCTTAATTAATTATTTTTAATGCAACACATATATTTTTATAGCATATTCTTTCCATTTCATTTTCCCCCATTCATTCATTGTTGCATTTTCCTCCATACCTACCCCTCCCTCTGAGTTCGTTTTTATCTTTGAAGGGAAAAAAAAATTCTTTCATTGTTATACAATCCCCCTCCACAATCCACAGTCTACTTTAATATGCATTTCTTTCTCTGTAATCCTGTCATGAAAATAATACCTAATCTTATATTCCTTTTAAATAGTTCTCTCACCTCATCTGTTTCAATGTAGTATACATTATTTATTCACATTAGGCTGAGTAAAATATCTCAGTCACAAAAGGACAAATATTGCATAGTGCCACTGTTGTAAAATGGGAGTGACATCGGGGTTGGGGGGAATCTAAGAAAAGAGGGGATAAATAACGTATACAGCACTCAATCTCTTTAACAATTGCTATTAGTTGCCATAATCAGTCTTCAAATCACAACAGAAAATACAAATGAAAGAGAAAAAACCCAAGAGTTGGCTAGGATATGGAGCACTGCGATTTCTCATACCCTGCTGTTAAGAGAATAAACTGGTTACTACTATTTGAGAAACATGCAACATGCTCCAGGACACTACAATTTCTTACCTAGGATACACCCTATAGAAACTCTTTATGCCATTAAAAGGGTACATAAAAGAATGTATTCTTTCATTTACAGAAGTCAAAATTAGGAAATAACACTTAAGTTCAATTAAAAATCATAGAACATATTCTCATCATCCCCAAATAATATTAATGGAGCATAAAACATTGTTTCCAGATACCCGTTATTCATTAATCATTACTAAATGTCAGTATAATCCATTTGGAATTGGAGAGATTAAATACCCATATCTGACTCTTCAATTTATATACAGCATGAATGACTTTCTTAAACTGATAGGCTTGGGTACTTCCTTCACCAAAGACTCTATCAAGCATTTATGAAAGAAAAGCCTTTTTGAAGATTATTTCAAGTTAATCAGGATTAAAAGTAAATAAAACTTTTATCCTTATCATCTTTGAGTGAAATAATTTTGTTTTAATAGCTTTCTTAATCCAAAAATATAAGAGTATAGAGAGAGCCTGATGTCCTGTGGTTCTTTCTTAATAACAACTTATTTTCAAACAACTCTAATCTACCCAAGAGAAAGCACTCTACCAATGATCTTAAGCAGATTCTGAGAAATTCATATTCAAGAATAAACAATGCCACTAATACCCAAACAATGAAGGTATTTGCAGTCTTACAAAAGGTCAACCTCTACCTGATGAGTCATTTCTAAAATAAGGGAAGTATAAGCCTTTGAAGTACCTTCTATTCAAACTGGAAAATATATAAAGGTGGGAATCATTTGTCAGAAGCAAGGTGACTGAGAAACTTGTCTCCATTCTCTGCATCTTTCTCTGACTCTATGCAAACATCAGACTAAGAATGGCTAAAATGGGTCTTTCATCCTATGTTTTAATACTAACCTTTTCTTTGTTTTCTCGAGGTATTTTGCTTTCAGCGAAGTCCATAAAAAATTTAGAAGATGACATGGTATTTAATACCTTAAGGCTGGGGAAAGCCTTCCAAAAGGAAGACGCTGCAGAAAAATCAGTCCTCACTCCTTCCCTGGAGCAAGATAAGAGCGATGAGAGCAGCTTCCTGAACGAAGAGGAAAACAGGAATCCAAAGGTAAGAGGTATTGTTCCCTGTTCTTTATTACAGTGGAAATGAGCAAAACAAAAATTCTTTAAAAAATGAAAATGGATAATTTCACTTTTATAAACAGAAGTATATGCAGCTTAGAAGTACTTCCTGAACAAATGATGGCATTTCATAGCATAGGTTTTTCTACTTTGGGGGGGGGGAATCTCTATCTAAAAGGCATTTTTCCCCCTATACATGAACTTTTATCTAAAACCTGTGCAAATGTCTCTGAATCGATACAAGAATAATATCATACAACTGTGCTATAGTTTCATGTCCAATGAGACAGCTAACACATACATCAACTTTTCTTTTACAGACTATCGGCTCCAAACACAATTTCTTAAATCATGGTCTGCCATTGAATCTGGCTATCAAACCTTATCTTGCACTGAAAGGATCTGTAGGCTTTCCAGCTGAGAACGGAGTTCAAAATAATGAATCAACACAGGAAAAGAGAGAAATTGGGGATGAAGAAAACTCAGCTAAATTTCCTATAGGAAGGAGAGATTTTGACAGTGAGTAATCTTTTCAGATTCAATTTTTAGATCTTAATTCCACAAAATAAATTTCTGGTTGCACTGAATTGGGATCCAATTTTTTTTTATCCAATTTTTTTAAAATGTCAAATTAAGACTATGTTTCAATTACTGTAATATAAACTCCCAGAAAAAAATAAAGTAAAAAATAATTTATTTACTTTGAAAACTTTTAGCTCTGCTAGGTCCATTCTTTTATTTCTAATACATTTGATGTAATAATGATAGTTCTTAAAACAATTCAAACCCTTTTTTCCCCCTTTTTAGTGTTGAGGTGCATGCTGGGAAGAGTCTACCGACCTTGTTGGCAAGTGTGACACTTCAGAAGACGACAAAATCATTTATTTGCTAGCTAAGGAAAAAGTTCTCTAATATTACTGTGACTTAAAAATCTTATTATGTATTAATTTAAATACCTGTTTTAAAAAGACTATCGTTAATGTAAATGATATGCTTTTCCTGTATATTAAACTTGTGAAAATTCTGCATGACTGTGACTTACTAGTATTTCAGAAGAATGTTTAACTTATCAACCTTAAATATACATATTCCATTTCAAAATAATAAAGTAATGGGGTGATTTACACCTTGATCTTTAAAAATCAATCAGATGCCTTTGGTGAGTGGTTTTACATATATACATACACAAGTCTACATAAAAGACAAATTCATAATCTGAAAAACTGAGTTAACTTTGTCTGGCCAGTAATCAGTCTGTCCTTGGTGGTACCCTTGTTGCCTTTTGTTATTCCAGTGACTTGGCCATCTGATTTATTCTGTGAACCCTTTGTTGTCTTTGCTATTTTGGCATTTTTCTGGTAAAGCAGTTCATTTCCTTTATCACAGGGAATATTTCCAGCACCCAAATCCACCTGTTTCCTTTTTGAGTTCTTATTTCCTGTCTCAGTACTTGATTTTCTTGATATTTTTTTATTTTTACTTTGGTCCAGTTGAGTATTTCCAGAACTTGTTCCAATTGTTGGTCTTCCAGCAGAAGAATTTACACCTTCTGTTATGCAAGCTGAAAAGGGGAGAAGATTATATAATACTTAACATTATGATTATTAATCATAAAAATCTTAACATAAAATTTTAAACTTGTTAATAGTCAAGATGTATGATCCATGATAAAACAAAATGCTACATATCATCTATAATTCCTACCAAAGCATTGGTTTGAATACATGACATATAATCCTGAAACAAAACCTAAAAATGATTTCTTAAATACATTTTATTAAATAAAATTGTCTTGGCCATTAGGCTTAGTCTTTTAAATAAACTCAGGTCTTTAATAACATAAACTTTTACATTTCATAGTACTTTACAAATAAAATCTAGTTTTAAGTTAAAACTAATGAGTAGACTAGAAAGAAAATTCTATTTAATTGTTCGAATAAGGCCAATTACCAGAAGGCTCACTGTCCATGGGAAGAACAAACCAAGGCTCTGATGCTGAGTTAACACTAGTCCATTTGTCCCTGTTTATCATGGTGTCATCTTTGTAAGTACATGCAAACTGGGATCTAATTAGGCTTTGCTTTACCTGGTAACAGAAAGAAAGAAAACACACCATGCGTTCATTATTTTTATCTTTCCCAGCTTAATGTATGAAAATTTCCCTTAAAATTTTGTTATTTATTGACAACTTCTACCCCATTAGGTTTTGTAGCTTGCAAACTCATTTACGATTACACCTAACATTTCAAGTTTTTTGAGTTTTGATTTTTTTAAAATATATCTGTTTTATGTCTATTTTTTCATACTTTTTTGTGGTAGGTTTTTTAAAAAACATGATTTTTGGTTCTTTAGGGACTGTGTCTTGGCTGCTTTGGGAAATGACTTTTATTACACCTGAAAGATTAATACAGTAAATATATATGGTCAAACATTTAAGTTCTTCCTCCTAAATATTATACCAAAACAACTTTTTTTAGAAAAAATTATGGTATACAATTTGAAAATAAGGTGAATAAGAGGGTAATATTAATACCAAGAAATTAGAGGGTAAAATAAGCAAAATCAGAAAATTAGCAAAGATATAAACTGAGATATACAAAATACTAAGTGTATGAGGTGCCATTTGCCACGAATTCAGTCTCAACACAGTTACCTTTCATGACAGAGAAGAACTTCCCCTTCGGGTTTCTTAGGTATAATTTTTATAGATCACCAGGTAGTCTTTTCCAAGGACCCCTACGGGGTTCAAACAATTGACATTTCCCTTAACAGCTGAGTACGTAATCATCTGTGCCACCAGGGTGCCTTTCAAATGGCAATAGAAAGTCTGGTGGCATGTTTTGTAGGGATTTGTGGCTAACACAAAATGGTGACAGGAAGACATTATTTCTTGGTTAAAAATGCAAATGTTTAAGAAAACAAAACCAGAATCAACTATATTACTTTATTTAATAGTAAAAAATTCAAAACATGTTAGGGACCTCTCCAACGTACTGAAGAGCAAAGGTATCACTCTGGAGACTAAGGTGTGCCTGATACAGGCTATGGTCTTTGCAATCACTTGCTATGCATCAGAGAGCTGGACAATGACTAGGGAGGATAGAAGGAGAATTGATGCCTTTGAGCTGTGATGTTGGAAAAGAGTATTGAATATACCATGGCCTTCCTGGAGGTTAAATCACACTGCTCTTTGGAGGCAAAGATTCTGAAGTTTCACCTGACATATTCTGGACAGATTGCAAGGGGGAGCAGTCCTTGGAGAAGGATGCTTGGAAGGATGGAGGGACAACAGCGCAGGAGAGGAAGACCCTCTATGAGGTGGATTGATTCAGTGACTGGGGTAATGAGGGTGGATGTCGGAGATGGTGTGACTGGCACAGGATAGAGCAGGGTTTAGGGCTGTTGTACACAGGGTCACTATGAGTCGCAGGCGACTCAACAGCACATAACAACCACCACCACATCAAATAAACAGAAGCTCATTGCTTTCTCATTGGAACTGACTTGTTGTTGACCCTCCCTTCGGTTTCCAATGCTGTAGATTACACAGGAGGAGGCTGCCCATCTTTCTTCCACAAAGATGATGATGATGATGATGATGATGGATTCTAACTGGCAGAGAGGAGTGGCTTTTTGGTTAGCATTACAACCTATCGCCTATGCCATGAGAGCTCCCCAAATTTCCAGGTAAATAGGAAAACATTAAAAAGCTAATTAATTCCTTTTTTCTGATTTTAGTGAAAGTTTACAGCAAGATTAGTTTTCATTCATTTGTTGATACATAATTTTTTTCTCCCTCCCCCACCCCTAAGTCACTCTGTGATGCAAGTCTTGTTCCAGATTGTTAATTCTCATACACATAATGTCTAATCATCCTTAACAAAGGAAAAAATATCAAGAAAGTAGTTTTGGTAATATAGTCTTCCAATATAAAATCAATGTACTATCAGAGATAGCAGTTGGTGGATTCAAACATGTTCCTTTGTGAATGCAAGCCCTTACCATTTATAGTAAACATTTAGATCTATTCTTCAAGACAAATCACTACATTAACTGACTTAAATATTTGCAGATATAACAGCAGTGATATTCACAGACTATGGTTTAGAAGAAATGAGAATAATCTCCCAGTTGCCTCAAAGACAGGTGATTTGAGGATGACTAAAGTTTTATCTTTTTGGACTAATGGTGTCTGTGGGTCATTTCATTTCCTAGGACACAAAGAACTGTGTCACATTTACTTGAATTAAGCATTAGATATTTGGAACTTATTGTTATCAATCATTTGCGCACAAAAATACTACAATTCAAAAGATTAAAATGAGTATTGGCAAGAATTTTTTTTAAAAAAGTTTGTAAAAGAAACTACAATAATGTAGCTTTCTGTTAGAGGATGGGGATACAACCCAGTGTTACTGCTGAGTCAACGCTGACTCATAGGAAGCCTAGTGGGGCAAGGCTGAACTGCCTCACGGGCTTTCAAGTCTGTAATCCTTACAGGAGGCCATGGAGTAGTTGGTGGGTTCCAAAAATAAAGCTGAGGGTTGGCAGTCAGGCTAACTGCTTAAGCAGTGCACCACTATGGTTCCTTATAATGTAGTATTTCTAAGAATTCCCACATACTCAGTGGAGCTCTGGTGACTTAGTAGTAAGAAATTGTGCTGGCAATGCAAAGATATGTGGTTCAAATCCACCAGCTGCTCTGTGGAAGAAAGATAGGCAATCTTATCCCCCTATGGTTAACTGTCTCTGAAAACCTGCTGGAGGATCATCAAAGGGCTGGTGCCAACTTGATGGTACACAACAACTCAGGATAATAGTTTCTACCAAGAAATGACCTATGATATAACTGAAGGTTTTAAGTGGGCCTTTCCAAACCTTATTAATTCTATGAACACAGAATTAAACTGAGAAAGCCATTAAAATAAATTATTACTAAAATAAACTCTAAATTATATTCACTCACACTATTACTGAATTCTATCTCAAAGGCATGCAGTTCAAACAGACAAGCTGTTCTACAAGAGAAAAATGGGCAATCTCACAAGCTGTTCCACAAGACAAAAATGGGCAATCTCCTCCCATGCGATTTGCTGCCTCTGAAAACCCACTGAAGCGTCAGCTATGGCCAGTTCCAACTCAACTATACGTAACAATATCATCATTACTATATAATATCATTATTCATAGACATACAGTTCTATCTGCAAAATCATTAATTACTGACAACTTTTTTTTGCATAAAATTTCTCATTTTACCAGAGTACCAGAACTGCCATCCAAACAGACGTATGCACATTCATGTTTATAGAGGCATTATTCACAATAACAAAGAAATGGAAACAACCCAAGTGCCCATCAACAAACGAATGGATAGAAAAACTATGCTATATTCACACAATACTATGTAACACTGAAACAGAATGAACTCTTGAAACATTACACAACCTGGGTGACCCTGGAGGACATTACGCTGAGTGAAATGTCTCAGTCTCAAAAGGACAAATACTGCATAACACCACTGTTATGGAGCAGGACTGCCATGGAGGATTGGGAAGAGAATAGGAAAAGAGTGGATAGATAATGAAACAGATGAGGCATAGAACTGTTTAAAAGGAATATATGATTAAGCATTATATGTAAGACAATCAGTCAGGATAAGAGATACATTACAAAGAGGACTGGGGAAGTGGAGGGAGAAAAGTATGCAACAATGAATGAATATTTAAAAAAAAAGAAAGTGAACTGGGGAGGTGGGAGGGAGAGGGAAGAAAACATGCAACAATGAAAGAATGAAAATCCAACTTTTCTATAAACTTTTGTTAAAATCACAATTAAGATAAAAACTTTAAAAAAGTAAACTGGGGAGAAATAAAAGAAAAAGAAGCCGATACGAAGTACCTGGCTAGGATCACTTCCGTAGTATTCAGTACCACCTCTGGATTATATGCAGAAGCTTTTAGCCACTCATCTGCACCCTCACCTAACCCACAATTCTTCATCAGTCTCATTTATAAAACAAAGAAAATTACAATCTTTAGTAAAGAAAACTGTTTTCTCCATCTCTTATTCACATGATTAAAAATTTCTTCAGAAATTCTAATTTTTACCATACAATTCAAGCAGAAAACCATTGTTACTATGTAAATGAAATCACAAAATAAGCCCATGGCCTTCTTTCTGATTACATTTCCTTGGTCGTTTATGTCGTGTGCCATTGCATTGGAATCAATCCACAGCTGACCCTCCAGCAAGCATTCAGAAGCAGTAAATCATACAGGAGACTGCTGTCATTCTCCCACGGACTAGATGGTGGATTTGAACTGTGTGTCGTGGACTGGAGGTACAGTTTCTTACCACTAGGCCACCAGGCCTCCCTTCCTCTCTCTTTTGTTGGAACCAACTCATGGTTGACCGTCCAGTGCATTTTCAGAGGTGGTAAACCACATGGGAATTAACTGTCCATCTTTCTGCCATGGAGCAGCTACTGGAACTGAACTATGTTTCTTATAGTTGACAGTGCAGGCCCTTAGCTCTAGGCCAATGGAGCTCCCTAGGTTCCCTTTTAAGGAATGTCCACAAAGCTATCGTGGCTTACTTGTGCTGTGAACCCAAAACCATGCAGTTCAAATCTACTAGCTGCTCTGTGGCAGAAAGATTGGAAATCTCCTCTCATGTGATTTACTGCCTCTGAAAACCCACTTGAGGATCAGCTATGAGTCAGTTCCTACTCAACGGTACACAAAACCAGTAAGTAATGTCTAGAGTTTCACAAACCCTAGGTCAATTTAAAAAAATTAAAGTTACAAAGCAACGGACTCTTAAAATACTGAGAATATTCTCAGAAAAGTATAAAACTAGTTACTTTATTTATCATGAAAATATTATTTAAAATTAAATAAAACTGAAGAACCATTTGACTCTAGTATGATCTTGGAATTATTTTGTTCAAAATAAATAACTGAGAATGATTATATTACAGATTTTTTCCTTTTTCTGAAAAAATGTTTCTTTTTCTCAGTACTGTATAAAAAATATTTTTATTAAGTTCCAACTATGTGAGCTCTGGTGGCCTAGTGCCAAGAA